TTGGAACACATTCCTTTGACATTCTCCATGATAAACAGTCTTGGGCGATGACGCTGCGCATATCTGATTGGCACCTTTATCAATTGGCCCCTGGGATCTTGGAGGCCTAGTTGCTTGCCTTGCGAGCTCCATGGTTGACACGGCGGAGTGGCGATGTACAGATCGACAGGAACTTCCTCTTCCTTCTTTCGACCCTCTGCATTATCGTAGAAATTCTTTGGCTGATGAAAGTGTAACAGAAGCTTTTTACAATGTTTGTCCGTGTCGCTACAAAAGCAAAGTTGCACCGGCAAGTGCGACAATCTCTGCAGAGCAAGAACAGCAGTGTCTAAGCCTGAGAAATCTGTCCCAACCTTGATGACTCGTGGGGTTCGGAGCGCAGTCATGCCAGACAATCGGGGCAGCTGTCAGCCGAAGCAGCTGTCAGCCCAAAGAGATGGCTTGAGCCAAAGATTCATGCAGGCAGTGTCACAAGTAAATCTCATGTCGTTACACAGTGTCTAGCAGCAACGGCAACAGGTAGTTTCTTTGTCGGCCTATCAATCAGGTTGCCGTGTGAAACACCCAAGTTGCTGTCAACCCATTTTCCCACCGCAGCCTCCCTGTGCGGAGGGGTCACCGACCTTTCACTTGCAGAAGGCCAGAGCAAGACGCGACTAAATCTGCACGCCGAAGACGGTGCAAAAAAGAATGAACGGTGTAAACATTTTTGTTTCCAGCAACCTGCGCAGTTCTTTCCTCTTCATGAATGACTGCGTACGCTTTGTACTTGGGGTACGACGATTGCTTTTGCAGCAATTGTTGCAGTGTACAATTTGGTCTCATTCTGTGAAGCTGCCAGCCATGCCGAGCCGGAAGCATTTCTCGAAACGCTCGCCAAAAGTCTTGGTGTTTCTGAGCGCAGGCAGCGCTGACCAGAACCACTTTGCGCGCAGAAGCAGCGCGTTGATATTTCAAAGCACAGCCGTCGCCAGACAGGAAAAAATTTGGTGAAATTTCAAAGAGGCCCCTCAGGCCGACAAGAATTTGCAAGGGAGCCGCCAAGCCTTCACCTGGTTTGTCGCAGACAATGACAAGCGCGTCAGACGCTTGCGATGTCAACTGCAGTCTATGGTTGGCAAGAGCTGCTGTCAATGACATGTTGGCCGAAGCAGCCACAAAAGCTTTGGAGCCAGCTACCTGTTGGAGCACCGCGTCCCTGTCTTTGCCCTTTGTGAGTTTCATTGCTCGGGACACTTGTTTTCGTTTTTGCATTTGTCTGTTCACAAACTTGGCCGAAGCAGCCTCCACATTTCTTCGGTCTTGAGCAGTTGCATCTGGAAAAGATTCTTCAGCCACAGCCTGAATCCGCCTGCTTAGCTGTTTCTTTTCAAAAAAGACTATCTCCTTGCGATGGCCTTCTTGGAAGTAATTTGCGTCGATTTGCTCTGTGGCCCCTGAGCATGCTTCAGCGGCCGCAGCAGCCGCTGAGCGACGTCTCTTCAGGAAAGCAGTCTCAGTCAGAGCTTTGTCTTCCGCTGGCCGCTTCATTCCTTTGTCAGCTCGGAATTTGCCCTGCGCATGTTCACGTGGGCAACCATACTGCGCTGCCCAACACACGCGGGCAAGCTTGCAAATTTCCTGCTTCTCCTCTTTGGTTTGATGTGGCAAATCAAAAAAGAGCTTCAAGACCAATTCTTCGTTTCCAGGCTTTGCGTGATGTCGTTGCTTGGTGTAGCGGCTTTGGCCCAAGCTGAAATTCTGTTCAATGCCCGATGTGCTTGGCGTGCAGCAAAAGTAGTTCTGCAAAGCCACACTTAAAGCATCTGCTGGATGAGAACTGGACCTTTTACATGAGTACCTCTCCAAAGTAATTTTCCAAGCGTCTTTGTTGGCTTTCTGTGACAAATGGTGGCTGTTGGTCAGCACGCCAAGCTGCTCTTTGTATTCCAACTGCGCCCGGGGATACAAGTCCTGCCATTGAGCCTTCAGCCTGGCAAAGTCCAATTTGTACGTATGAGCCAGTGTTCTCAATTGCGCATCTGTGCTTCCTGCAACAATCCCCCTCAAGTTGAAAACTTCAAAGGCCTGGGCGATTTCAAAAGGAGGAAATTCTGCTTCAATGGCCGTAGCAGCCAGTACCACCCATGCTTGCATTCGACCCAGACATTTTTTCACTGTTGCGATGTCAACGCCTGCGCAGCACCCCAGAGTCCTCAATTCTTGCGCAACTTGGAAAACAATGGGAGACTTCAGCAGGTTCAATACAGTCGAAGTAAAGCCAAAAGCAGTGGTGCAGCGACCTTCAACAAACAGGCTTCGTATTTCACACAAGTATCGCCGCAATTCTCCTTTCAGCTGCGCTGGGTCCACATTCTCAGAGTCCAGCGAGCGAGTTAACGCCAGGCTTGAGTCGGCCGCATCAGCCAGCATCGCGGCCTGCAACACCCTTTCTTCTGAAATCCAAAGTAGCCATTGGTTGGCCGTTTTGGCTGAGCCATCAGTGCGTGTTTTGGTGATATGGAGAGCTGTTTTCACGCACGCATGAAAGAACAGACATGTTCGCCCAAGAGGACGCGCGTGTGATTCAAATCGATGCCCTGCCGCACGAAAGGAAGACAGGACAGACGCTAAGGTGGTCTCAGAAGTGCGACAGTGTTCAGCAAAAATCCTTTTGATTTCAATGGAGTTGTTGATGAGTTTGGCAATCGATCTGGGTCCTCGGCACATGTAGTTCATCACCTCCTGTAGATTGCCATCTGCATTCCAGGCTCTGCTTGTCAACCTTCTGCTGGCATGAGCTCTGTCTCTGAAGACATGCTGCAGGTTCGGAAGCATGGGCTGGTTGTCTGGGGCCAGACTTAGGGTTGCTGAGCGCAAAATTTCAGCGCTTGCCATTTCATCCGATGCCGAGTCTGCACACAGGGCGACTATTTTGGACCGCATGTGTTGAAACAAAGCTTTCTTCAAATGTCCGGGGTTCCTGCCCAAAGGTGCCAGAACAAATCTGGAACAAGCGCGCTTCATCACTTGCCATGTGGCCAACGACAAATTGTCACCACCAGTTCCAGCCTGCCTTGCTTGGCCTAAGAAGCCAGAGCGGGTTGACAGGTCTGGAGCTACAGCTCTGAATCGAATAGCTAGACGCCCATGCCGTTCATCACGCATCAGCGCCACCTGCGAAGCTTTTGATATGAACTTTTGATCTAAAGCCCTCAAGCCTTCTGCCAGGCACCATGCCATTTGTAGCTCCTTCTGCGACAACGCTGTCTTTTTTGAGAAGGCGTCCATGAACTCTTCAAATTGGCACAATGAAGGCGCTGCGCTTGGGTTAGGGCCAACGCAGCCACCTTCCTTCAGCCAAACTTTCACAGCAGCTTTGTGAGCTTTGCTTTCCTGATGTTTCTGCATATTTATTTTCTGCAATTGGGCAACATTGGTAATCGCAAATGAAGCCCAAGGACTTGAGATCTTAGCTGCACAGCACGCTTTGCAACCTATACCCCAAGGTTGCCGCTGCACGTCCAGCCAAGACCCCAAGTGTGGCTGATCTGCTGAGATCAAAAAGGTTGGGCGCCACTTGAAGCTCAGCGAAGCCCATTTCGACATGGCACCCATGTCACAAGGCATTGCCGAAGCAGCACTGGCCGAAGCAGCCATATGTCAGCCACTATCAGTTAAACCAAAACAGCCGGCGTCAGAAACGAGATTTTCAAATACCTTCTTAAGCCCATAGAATAGCAACACTTTATGGCGCACGAGACATGAGGGGGCAAGCCACTACCACACTGCTCACCCAAAGTTTGACTAGCAACTCATTATCCCAAGGAATTTATGAGACACCACCATTTGAACATTTCAAACATGCTATCCTGGGGGACTTATGTACTAAACGCACTATAGTTGAAAGTTGGTCATCACCACATTCACTCCACTCACACGAATTTTGGAAATATCTTTTTAACCAGACATATACACAAGGAAATATCTCCAAGGCCAAAAAAAAAATAAAAATACTACAATACCACTAAGTGAAAGCAAGTATTTTATTCCATTGTTGTACTCATGCCTTTCATGCTCTGCCGGGCTCCGGGTTCCTGCTAGCGCCTATGGTCTGTGCTAGATTTTGTAACGTTT